TTGCCTGTGCTGGTAGGGAAGGTACTGCTTTCAACTTTTATTTTTCTTGAAAAAAATTACAGTTTGTTTTGAACATGACCTTGAATACCTGCACTGATAACATGCTGGTTTTTATAACTATGAGCACTTGACTGTGCCTACCTGTGCTCGTAGGGAAGACATTTTTCAGCAGTTAAGCATTGAAGTGATTGCCTTTTTTATCAGACAAATAATTGTAACAATGAACTCTATGCGCTACACCATGATCAAGGGCACATGGAATATTTGAAATAATTGATGATATTACCCTCAAGTTACAATTCATATAATGATGATACATTGGTAATGTTTTTATCAAATAGCATGTGTAAGCTGCCTTTCCTAAGATTCACTTTTCCCTATCAAACAACGGGAATGTGCCAGTGTTGGAGGAAGAACTGGTTGTTTGAAGTGTCAAACTGTGTGACATCCCACAAGCTTTTTTAGTGATAGTAAATGTGGTAATGTGAGGTGTTGAGGGATTGTCTGCTGACTGATAACAGGCAAGACTAATAGAATCAAACATGGGGTCTGGTCCGTGGACAGGGATATCTCAACCCGAGTGCTGGCCAGCCAAACTCTTACATGAGGGATTATATGATATCACGGAAACAATACAATGTCGCGTTGTCAGTTCATTATTATGACGTCTTAGCGTGTGTTAGCTGTCTTTCCCTACCCCATATGAGATATATCTGCCCTAGCAACAACGGGATCACACTGTGAAGTATGTGAGAAATACATACCTTACACTCGCACTCCTGACACGAGTCAAACAGGTGGTTGAAGATCTCTCCATCAGTGTAGCTGATACCATTGTATAGACAGGAATCACAGACATCACAGCCACAGCTGTCTGTTGTAGGGTTATCACAAGGCACAAAGTCACACATCTTTTGACGCTGTGTCACATTACCAAACTGTCAAGTATCAAATAAGGATTGTATCAACATTGAGTTTCCCTGTCATAAGTATGCAAATCAAATTTGGTCAAATTCCCTTTATCTGTACAGAAGAAGAAAGATTTCTTTAAAAGGATGTTTTGAAATCAATCTTGCTTACAATCTTTTCATCTATATTAAAGTGAAGAATTTTAAAGATGGACTTCTGTTTCCCATATTGGGCCCCACATATCTGTACCTAGGGGACAATCACCCTTTGGTTATAAAATATTGAGTTCCTTTGGCCCCAAAATACTCAACTAAATTTTGTTAAGTTCCCTTCCTCTGTATGTAAGGAAAAGGATTTACTTCTATTTCTGCTATTTGGCCCCGCCCTTCTGCCTTCTGCTCCAGACCTATAATTTAGTCAAACTCCACTGAGCTGTTCTCGACTAATAGTTAAAGGATGTCATGCAACAGCATACACTGTGTCTGTACCCAGATACTGAATTCTTTACAAATGTAGATTAGGTTGTGAGAATGCTAACAGGTCTTACCAAGCAGCTGAAGTCCCTACAAGGATAGCCAGGATCAGAGAAGGTCTGAGTGTGTCTGATGATCTGCTCAGCCCCTGTACTATCACGGTAAATGCAGTCGGTACACTCTGGACAACACTTGCCCAAGGACGGCGGAATGGCATGGGTACACTGAACATAACATGATCGGGATACACGGGCGATGTTTCCTTTCTAGAGAAACAAATGATAACACCTGATAGAAAATATGATAACACCTGATAGTAAATATGATATCACCCGATAGTAAATATGATAACACCCAATAGTAAATATAATAACACCCAATAGTATATATGATAACACCTGATAGTCCCGAAAGTAAATATGATAACACCTGATAGTAAATATGATATCACCTGTTAGTAAATCTGATAACACCCGATAGTAAATATGATAACACCTGATAGTAATATGATTACACCTGATAGTAAATATGATATCACCTGTTAGTAAATATGATAACACCTGATAGTAAATATGATATCACCTGTTAGTAAATATGATAACACCTGATAGTAAATATGATATCACCTGATAATAAATATGATAACACCTGATAGTAAATATGATAACACCCAATAGTAAATATAATAACACCCAATAGTATATATGATAACACCTGATAGTAAATATGATAACACCTGAAAGTAAATATGATAACACCTGATAGTAAATATGATATCACCTGTTAGTAAATCTGATAACACCGGATAGTAAATATGATATCACCTGATTATAAATATGATAACACCTGATAGTAAATATGATAACACCCAATAGTAAATATGATAACACCCGATAGTAAATATGATAACACCTGATAGTAAATATGATAATACCTGATAGTAAATATGATATCACCTGTTAGTAAATATGATAACACCTGATAATAAATATGATATCACCCGATAGTAAATATGATAACACCTGATAGTAAATATGATATTACTGATAGTAAATATGAAAACACCTGATAATAAATATGATATCACCTGATAGTAAATATGATATTACTGATAATAAATATGATAACACCTGATAGTAAATATGATAACACCCAATAATAAATATGATAACACCTGATAGTAAATATGATATCACACCTGATAGTAAATATGATAAAACCTGATAGTAAATATGATATCACCTGTTAGTAAATATGATAACACCTGATAATAAATATGACAACACCTGATAGTAAATATGATATTACTGATAGTAAATATGATATTACTGATAGTAAATATGATAACACCCGATAGTAAATATGATAACATCTGATTGTAAACACGTAGCAAATTTCAATGCACATAGTATTATGGTTGCCTTCTAGCTTTGTGCTAGAGGGAATTTCCCTTTAGCTCAGTCGTAGCGCGTCCGACAAGTCACAGGATCGATCCCTGGTGGAAGTACACTACCCTCTCCCCTATTTCCTGTTAGGAATGTATTTTATATAGTGAACGTTATAATGAACATCTGTAGTGACCGTCATTGATAATTAGGCTTCACAGTCAACAGCACCGATAATAAATATAACACAAGATAGTGACCGTCATTGATAATGAAGCTTCACAGTCAACAGCACCGATAGTAAATATAGCACAAGATAGTGACCGTCATTGAGAATGAAGCTTCACAGTCAACAGCACCGATAGTAACTATAACACAAGATCGTGACCGTCATTGATAATGAGGCTTCACAGTCAACAGCACCGATAGTAAATATAGCACAAGATAGTGACCGTCATTGATAATGAGGCTTCACAGTCAACAGCACCGATAGTAAATATAGCACAAGATAGTGACCGTCATTGATAATGAGGCTTCACAGTCAACAGCACCGATGCTAAATATAACACAAGATAGTGACCATCATTGATAATGAAGCTTCACAGTCAACAGCACCGATAGTAAATATAACTCAAGATAGTGACTGTCATTGATAATTAGGCTTCACAGTCAACAGCACCGATAGTAAATATAACACAAGATAGTGACCATCATTGATAATGAAGCTGCACAGTCAACAGCACCGATAGTAAATATAACTCAAGATAGTGACTGTCATTGATGATTAGGCTTCACAGTCAACAGCACCGATAGTAAATATAGCACAAGATAGCGACCGTCATTGATAATGAAGCTTCAGACAACAGCACCGATAGTAAATATAGCACAAGATAGCGACCGTCATTGATAATGAAGCTTCAAAGTCAACAGCACCGATAGTAAATATAACTCAAGATAGTGACTGTCATTGATAATTAGGCTTCAAAGTCAACAGCACCGATAGTAAATATAGCACAAGATAGCGACCGTCATTGATAATGAAGCTTCAGTCAACAGCACCGATAGTAAATATAACTCAAGATAGGGACTGTCATTGATAATTAGGCTTCAAAGTCAACAGCACCGATAGTAAATATAACTCAAGATAGGGACTGTCATTGATAATTAGGCTTCAAAGTCAACAGCACCGATAGTAAATATTACACAAGATAGTGACCGTCATTGATAATTAGGCTTCACAGTCAACAGCACCGATAATAAATATAACACAAGATAGGGACCGTCATTGATAATGAAGCTTCAGACAACAGCACCGATAGTAAATATAGCACAAGATAGCGACCGTCATTGATAATGAAGCTTCAGACAACAGCACCGATAGTAAATATAGCACAAGATAGAGACCGTCATTGATAATGAAGCTTCAAAGTCAACAGCACCGATAGTAAATATAGTACAAGATAGTGACCGTCATTGATAATGAAGCTTCACAGTCAACAGCATCAATAGAGACTACACTGTGAACTGTACGGGTACTAGTTACTGCCATTGAGAGTGAACATTTATAGTTCATCATCGATAGTGAAGATTTAAAGTCACTATCATTGAGAGTGAAGATTATATACAGTTAGGGCAAATTTTAATTTTCAGACAGAACACCGGTATCCAGATTCAACTCAGTTCATATACTGGTTATATTTTGAAGAGGACAGAGCTGGGTGTGACTGCTGGTGTACAAGGCAGTTCTATAAATGTAATCTATAATAGCGAAGTAAGCTGAAAAAAATAATTCTATGACAGCCCTCACCTCACAGATAATTGTGGTACAGGTGTCGCCGGGGTCCTCCCGTTGCTGACCATCAGGGAGGATAAGTGTTCGTTGGAGGTCTGTTGAATGCCTGAGTTCACAGGAATCACAGCTTGGGCAGCACAAATCACTGGTGCGCGGATTGTTACACAGGGCAATGGGACAGTCTATACGCCGACGGTCAAGGGAGCCATCCCGTCGACAGGTACACGTATCACAGCCACAGGGGAAGGTCTGGCCAGGTGTGTAACGTTGGTCCTCATAAACACAGTCAACTAAATGGTCAGGTGTGGGGCACTGCTTACAACATCGGTTACTGCCATAAAACTGGACGTTCTCTGGACAACGGAGCAGTGGACAAGAGACGCGTGCACACCGTACATTACCCTGCTGACATTCACACTTCACACATGTCTCATTGGGGTCAGTAAAGTTCTGTCCATCAGCATAAAATTTGTTGCGGTAGAAACAGTCTCCACAGACAGGACAGCATCCCTTGACTGCAGGACAGTTACAGTCAACAGGGTTACAGGTCTTACGACTACACCTTACATTACCATTCACACATTGACAGCTACTGCAGCCATCCTCAGGGTTCTTGAAAGACTCACCATTTCTCCTTTCCATCCCCCTGTACAGACAGTCAGTACACTCGGGGCAACAGTTGCGGGTGACTGGGTTCTGACAGGACACGCCAACGCATCGCTTGGTCAAATTAGCAATCTCACCATTTCTACAAAGGTGCTCGGTACACACATCCTGTTGGCTGGGGACCCTGTGACCGTTCCTGATGAGTCGTCCTGCTGAGTTTGGGTACATACAATTTCCACACTCGGGACAGCACAGGCCATTAGAGGGGTAGCTACATGTTGGGGCTGGACAAGACTTGGCCTGACAGGTGACTGTGCCCCGGTCACACATACACAGGTTACAGTCATTCCGGGGATCAGAGAAGCGTTGACCATCACTGTAGGTACGTCCCTGGTAGGAACACTGCTCACAGTTCTGGCAGCATCCATCTGTGACAGGGTGTTGACAGTCGACTGGTGAGCAAGACTGAGGTGTAGATTTGATGTTGCCATTTACACATAAGCATGTGGTACAGGACTCTCCACACGGGAACTGTGTGCCGTTGATGCGAACCTGGTTCCCATAGAGACAGTTGTGACAAGTTGGGCAGCAGGATGTGCTGTTGGCGGGGGCTGGGTTACTACAGGTGAGAGGCTGGCACTGATTACACTCACACATCACATTACCCCGGGTACAGGTACAAGTCTGGTCTCGTCTTAACAGGTGTGTGAAAGTACGACCACTCTTGTGTATCAAACCCTCAAAGTTACAGTCTGAAAAAACATGCAAAACAGAAATGTGTGTTAAATGAATATAGCCTCACAAATGCAACACATTGCCAATATCCCCCACTGCTAAATTATAGACTCAATTTTCATATTCAGACATATACAAAGCTATGATTACAGCATGCTAAGATGACTGTCTCCCACCTCAAGAAGTATATAATGTTGTAGATATGCTCCAGACAACACCAAAGATGGACAGTGGACATTACATCCTTCGTACAGATTGATGTGGGGATTAAGTTTCAAAGTTGCATCATCCTTATTCTAAATTTGTCCTTTATTATCTATATTGGTTATTGTTTTATTCTGTTTATTGTACAGGATATGTAGATTGTGGACAACACCTTTACATTTTAGACAACACCTTGACATTGTACAAACCCTGTTACTTGTATTTTAGACAACACTTTGACATTGTACAAACCCTGTTACTTGTATTTTAGACAACACCTTGACATTGTACAAACCCTGTTACCTGTATTTTAAACAACACCTTGACATTGTATAAACACTCTTACCTGTATTTTAGACAACACCTTGACATTGTATAAACCCTGTTACTTGTATTTTAGACAACACCTTGACATTGTACAAACCCTGTTACTTGTATTTTAGACAACACTTTGACATTGTACAACCCCTGTTACTTGTATTTTAGACAACACTTTGACATTGTACAAACCCTGTTACTCGTATTTTAGACAACACCTTGACATTGTATAAACCCTCTTACCTGTATTTTAGAGAACACCTTGACATTGTATAAAGACTGTTACCTGTATTTTAGACAACACCTTGACATTGTATAAACCCTCTTACCTGTATTTTAGACAACACCTTGACATTGTATAAACACTGTTACCTGTATTTTAGACAACACCTTGACATAGTGGCAATGCACCTTGTACAAACCCTGTTACCTGTACATTGTGGACAGCACTCCTCCTGCGTAAACACAGGACTATTACAGCGAGACTGGGCACACGATTTTTGTCGGCAATCGTCCACTCGACCCTGTCTACAGACACATTCTTGGCACTTGTCTGAAGGATGGGGCATTGTGGCCCCGCTTAGGTATGTGACATCACCCACTTCACAAGTTATATCAGGTGTGGGGCCTGGAATATTGTCCTCACAGACTGGGCAACATCGTCCTGGCAACGTGACTGGTCTGTCACATGTAACTGGAGGACAGGGCACAGTCACATTGGTGATAGATCCATCCTTGTTAAAAAAAATATAATTTCACTTCTTAAGTAGGGAAAATTTACTCACTGTGCATGAAATAGGATAGCTTTAAAATATTGAGGTTGTGTTTTGTGGTTTTGTGGTTAACATTCTCTATATAACTGATTGTGGCTTTTGCTTGTTTATGATGATTTGTTCCAAGAACACAGAAATATTTTACAGTCATGGCTTTGTTCATAATGTTATGTAATGATATCATAGTAGTTATGCTGTGAACTACAATAAATCAGAATCCAGAATGATTACGTAATAAGATTATTGAACGACTTTTCTGTATAGTTTCCAAAAAAACTTACTGTACATCGGCACTCCTTGCAGGGCTCAGCAGGGTCCACATACACCTGACCATTTCTGATGAGACGGTTGTTGTATTCACACTGACTACAGGAAGGGCAGCACTGACCAGTGCGTCGAGCAGGGTCAGTACATCCTGTACTGGGGCAGGCGTGGGACTGACAAGTGATCCTCCCTCCCTGTCACACACAAACATATACATTAATGTTACAGAGGCAGGCGTGGGACTGACTGATCCTCCCTCCCTGTCACACACAAACATATACATTAATGTTACAGAGGCAGGTCTTGGCAAGTCTTCCTTCCCCGTCACAAACAAACATACCCACTAATATTATGGAAGGGGTCTTGGGATCGACATGCCACTTACCCAGCAGGTACATCTGGTACAGGGATCCATCGTGTCCCCAAATGATTGGCCCTCCCTATAGCGTGTGCCAAGGACATTACAGTTGATTGGACATACAGGGCAGCAGCGACCAGCAGGGCGCACTGGGTTAGGACAGCTCACAGGACTACACTCCATCCGTGTACAGTTCACAGTACCTGCCTGTATAGAAACATTGTAATGCATCATCAAATGTTCTACTTACTTTAATTATATACTCCTATCTGATGCTTTTCTTGGAGACATGGCTTCTATATAACATTTCTCTAAAATGATATAATATTCCAATCAGCAGTCTGTACTGAAGAGTGCTGTAACACCCCATACAAATTTACCTCACACACACAGACCCTGCAGGCATCCCCACCTGGCGGCACAAACTTCTGACCACTCTGGAAGTGTCTGTTTAGATAGTGGCAGCCTCCACAGGATGGACAACAATCTCCAGGACGGGTCTCAGGGTAGCGACAGGTAACAGGGGGACAGGTATCCACAGATGTCTTCCTACATCGCACCTCACCTCGCTGTAGCAAAAGGAGAGTATGGAAGGTATCGTATAGATGAGAATAAGGTAAATAATGAAGACACACTACAGCTCTGTCATAACATATATCCTCAGGTAGATAAGAATCATAATATATACCTTACAGATAAATACCAATCTAACGTATACCTTACAGGTAAGTAATGAAAATACCCTACAGGTCTGTCATGACCTAGCCTCAGGTAAATATGAATCATGATGTTCACCTTACAGGTAGATACAAATCATGACATACATCTTACAGGTAAATATGAATCATGACATACACCTTACACGTAAATATGAATCATGACATACATCTTACACGTAAATATGAATAATGACATACATCTTACACGTAAATATGAATCATGACATATACCTTACAGATAAATACCAATCTAACGTATACCTTACAGGTAGATAAAAATCATGACATACACCTTACAGGTAGATAAGAATCATGACATACACCTTACAGGTAAATATGGATCATGACATACATCTTACAGGTAGATATATATCATGATGTACATCTTACAGGTAGATATATATCATGATGTACATCTTACTGGTAGATATATATCATGATGTACATCTTACAGGTAGATATATATCATAATGTACATCTTACTGGTAGATATATATCATGATGTACATCTTACTGGTAGATAAGAATGATGATGATGTACACCTTACAGGTAAATATGAATCATGATGTACGTATACACCATACAGGTATATATGAATCTCATGTATATTCTATAAGTAATGAACATCAGGAGTAATCAATACAGTTAGAAAAGAAATTATCTGAATTTTGGTAAAAAATATTTAGTATTACACATTATATAATGATTTTGAAAACTCATGCATTCATCTGATGTTTTTGTTTGAAACTATTCATGAATCCAAAATAAAAATAAAGTTTCTTCCATCTTTTCAGACCTACCTGACAGTGGCATGTTTCACAGGGTTTGCTTGGATTGGGAAAGGTTGAGCCTTCCCCATAGTTCCTTCCTTCAAACGAGCACTCTTTACACACGGGACAACATTGACCATCCACCTCGGCTGGGTTGAGGCAGGGCGGTGGGGCACACTGGACCCTCTCCGACAACACCTGGCCTACACGGTAGAAACACAAGGTAAAAACTTCCTCAGGACACTGAAATAGTCTTAGGATATACTTGTTCGCCACAGGTATAAGAATACCCAAACAGAGCCACTGACGTTTTTTAAAGTCTCGGCCAATCTGAGGAAAAAGCAGCCACCTTGAATCCCAAAATTTATCAGTCTGCATTTAAATATAATGTATATTCCCTGTGTATAACTCCCAAAAAGTATGAACAAATTTTGTAAAATTACTAGAATATCAATCTGTTTGACAAAAAATAGGGTTATAACCAAATAACAACAAAGGTATTTTTTGAAATATTTTACCATACATGTTTGAGTATGAAAAGTAAATGAAAACTACACATATCTATCTCTGGCAGCTTCAGTGACAGCGGCCACATTATTTTAGCTACTGTGTCCCATTTCTACTGCTGTCATGATTCACAAGAACTAACCCTCCCAACAGGAGATTAAGCAAATTCTTACCCTCCTGACATCTGAGGATGGTACATCTACTGGCTGAGACTGTGTCTCCATGTTGGTATACCTGGCCATTGTAGGAACATCCTTAAACAGATATAAACCATTTAAACCGGTTCATAAATATATAACTTTTAAACAGATATAAACCATTTAAACCAGTTCATAAATATATAAATTTAAACAGGTATAAACCATTTAAACGAATTCATAAATATATAACTTTAAACAGATTTAAATCTTTTAAACCAGTTCATGAATAATTTAAACCAGTTCATGAATATATAACTTAAAAGTTAAAAGATAAGTTATAACTTTATCCATTGTGAGTTTCATAAGATAGCAATATGTAATTATTCACAGAAAAACTATCATAACAGTTATGCCTGTCCTACCTTTACATATAGGACAAACTGCGCCTGGAGGAGTTTCTGTTACACTGCACCGTATTGGTGGACAGGGACCAATCAGACGACAGTTTACATTTCCTGCAGTACATGCACATCTCTGTAGACTGTCTCCGGGCATCATGAAGCTCTGACCGTCACTGTATGTCTCCCCATCATACAGACAATCTACAATACATCAGTTTTATAATCACCAAAAGTTTCAAATTTAATCTTGTAGAACATTTCAAATTCAAACTAGTCTCAAGGTCACAAACTAATCTTTGATTAGGTTTTTAAATTTAAAGTCAAAGAAATAATACAAAGTTTTCTGGGTTATTTTGACTTCAAGGTCAACTACTCTAGGCAGCCCTAAGCTACTAAAAGAAGCTAGTCACCAATTGTCTGTTCCACTTTCAAACTTATTCAACGAGTCTTTAGTATCAAATATATTCCCTTCATCATGGAAAATAGCAAACGTTATTCCTGTATTCAAGAAAGGTGATAGATCCTTAGTCTCAAATTATAGACCAATATCTCTCTTAAGTTGTGTAGCAAAAGTATTTGAAAAGTGTGTATTTAAACATGTTTATAA